CTGTTGCGGTATGCTGGTGCATTGTATTCTTGTGAATTTATCCTCCCTCTTTTTATTGCATTCAGGAGCGCTTGCTACCCTTTAATATTAGACAATTTTTATCTTCTCAAATACACTCAGGTTTCACCTTGGTCCAAAACCATACATACTCCAGTGGGGACAACCTATCAAGTAGCATTCGTATCAGGCTCGCAACTCTGGATCTGGTAGAAACGCAACGACCAGACGTATACACCAGTTATTCCGCGCGAAGATTTAACCCGTCCGCGAATTTGGAATCTCTTTCTACGGAGATGGCCTATAATTTGCTGCGATCGAGGCTCTACATTTCACATAATTCTGCAACGAAAGATTTATCAGAAATAACACAATCCACGACAGTGTAAGATCTGGAATTAACTTCAAAAACTAAAAACTGACATTTAATTTTTGTTGGAGCTTGATATACCTCATTTCTAACTACTACGCTTCAGCTTGGTCCTATGCGATGAATGTCTCCTCCCTCCTGGTTGCGCCGAGATCTTAAAACCATTTATATCCGTTATAGTACACAAGCTTGTTGTGCATTTAAAAAAAATAATGTTTGCGTCCTAAATTGTTCGAAAAGTGCTTTCCTGTAAAAAGCTAAAATAAATTTCATCAGTTTTTCCCAAGCACTTTCTTGCTGTAAAATAAATATTCGTTGTAAGTTATTTTAGTTTGGTAAAATTCGGAGCTCCAGGAAAATGTTCTCCACACTTGGCGTTGCGACGGTAGCGGTGAGGAAGCGAAGTAAAGACAAATGTTATAGTTTGGATGATTAAGGTGTTGGTTGTCTTGTTATCTTTCAGGGTGAGATCTCTGTTAGCTTGAGAAATTATCAGGTAAGCAAGAAGAAAACTGTTGAAAACGATCAGTATCACCGTAGACAACAACTGATTCTCTTCATTTACTGTAGATGGCATGTCTTGTGCCGAGGCGTCCAGGTGACCATCCGCAAAACCGATTCTCTTCATCGAAACTGGAGCCTCCGAGGAACATTCGAAAATATGTATATGTACACCTTTAGATAAGCTGCAATCGAACAGCAATCGTTTACGTAGGACGCAAATATTTTACTTATCATAACGTTACTCTAATATTTTTTGGTATCATACTTAGCCCAGCACTGCAATCTGACTATTGCCTGATAAACGCCACTGATCGCGATCACGGTTCTTTTTCAATCGTCGCGATTCAAATTCATCTTGAATCTCTTGAATGGTTTTGCCATACGTTTCAGGCACAAACGAGTGTACAAAGAGGAATGCCAGTGTCACAGTGCACATGAACGGCACGAAGCTGTAGTTGTCGAACGCAGCAGCAATGTACGGATAGCCAAGACCGATCATAAGACTGCACAGCCAACTACAGCCCACACAAATCGAGCATCCCATAGCTCGAACATCGTCCGGGAAGAGGTCAGCCATGATACCCCACGCCAACGGCCCTAGACTTGATCCGAACGTAGTCACGTAAAGCGCAGTAAACACGATTGCCAGCGCGGGTAAACTACCAACCAGCGACGCCGTCATGCCGACTGCACTGCAGAACATTCCGGTAAATCCAATCAAGATGAGCTTGCGATTGCCCAGACGTGCTGACAACATGCCACAGAATAGCGTCGGAAGAACGTTGACGAAATTGACCAGCAACACACCAATACGACTATCCGAAAGTCCTGCTTGCTTGAAAATGCCGGACGAGTAGAAGAACACGGCGTTGACGCCCGTGAGCTGTTGGGCGCCTGCCACACCAATAGCCACAAGTAGTTGTCGAATCAGAGCCGGTGAGAATAAATCCGCCAAGCCGCGGGCCTTAGGAGCATTGGGAGCCATGAGAGCCATCGACATCCGAAGATCCTGTAGTGGCTGCACGAACTCACTGCCCACTCCAACACGGGGTGCCACCTCCTCTTCCTGCTTCATTCAAGTCTTCGCTAGAAACACATTCTCCTGGCCGAACAGCCTTGCAAGCTCATGTTCTGCAATCAGGGGCTTGCCTGCCATCAGCAGCCAAGCCGGGCTTTCAACCAGTACGAATGGTGCCAGCACCAGGAACAGGAACGCCAGTACGATAGGAAACGCCGCAATGTACCTCCAACCGGCACTCGTACTGGCAAAGAAGAAGGTGATCGCAACGCATAGGTGTCCGAGTGTGATGGAGATCTGGAAACACACGCCCAGTTTACTGCGGAGGTGTGGCGGACAGATTTCTCCAATGAATCCCGGAATGACGGCCGTTGAGCCGCCCGCCGCGATACCGGCGAAGACGCGGCCAACTGTGAATATCGTAATGTTACAAGCAGCAGCCTGGACTACCCCACCTGCTATCATGAAGAGGCAGTTGGCCATCATGGTAGGTTTACGACCGAACTTGTTGGAAACACGCCCGGTCACAAGAGCTCCGATCATACCCCCGACGATCCAGGAACTGACGGCAATGGTCCACTCCGTCTTGGTGTGTCCTGGGAACATGAGGCAGGTACCTGGCGCGATGGGTCTTGCATTGCAATCCGCCTCATTATTGAAAATCGAGTTGTTCATTTGCGAGGTTGACCATCCGAACTGAAATGGCTGCAGTACTGCTACCAGGACATTGGCGTACAGCCTCCAGCTTGGTTTAATAGTCGGGTTAACCTGTGTCTGTGGTGGCACCTGTGTCACTACGGGTGTCGGAACAAGCCAAACATGGCTGGAACTGCTCATCGACGGCGTGAACTCCATTTTTTCGCAGCAATCCTCGTCTTTCTGCACGCGACCAAGCTCGGTCGATGAGTTAATGAGACGGTCGCTATTGTGGCCTCGGTTGTATCGACGCAATTGTAAGAATGAAGCTCCAGCAGTGATGCCGCGTTCCTGCTTCAGGGTTGTGACTTGTGCAGTCGAAAAGGATGGTGGATCGTTGCGATCCGATCACGTTAGCCTCCACCACAGCAGCATGCTGCACTCGAAGCTGTACAGAACAAATATTGTTGAGTTTCTGTGTGTTACGTGCCGCCAGCGCCACGGATTATACGAAACAACTGTTCGTCAGAAAACGAGTTCGATTGCAAGATCGTCAGGCCCAACTAATCCAGAAGAACAAGGTAACCGCAGATATTAATATTAAGTTCTGCAACTGCACGGCTCGGATATTAGAGCCACGCACGACGGATCTCGTGGTCTCATAATGTAAAGTCGAACGTAGTCTACGGTGGCAAGATGCGACCTACGCAGCTTTTAGGATCAAGCGTCACTACTTTTCGTCACCGAAAAAACTGAACCATGTTGAATGGTGGAAGCACATATCCAGGAGGCAGCTGTCTAACAAAGTGGCCATATTGGACCGTGAAGATATGTTGTCGGTTCACGTATAAGCGCCGCTTATTAGGCGGACGTAGCTGAAAACGTATGTACGACTTCATCTACTGCAACGTTGATGAAACTTTACTTTACCTTTGGGTAAAATATAAAAGTAGGTTAAATTTTACACTATTTCGTACTTTACTAAAACAATGTTGTAGAATTTCACCTACTTTTAGGATTTTTAAACCTAAAGTTTACAAAAAGCAGAGATTGCGACGTGCAGATCTTCCCGCATATCAAGTCAATTCTACTGACTGCCGGTGGGATCGTTTCCTCGCGGCAATATGCGGCCACCAGACGGAAACTCAATAACAGCAGACAAGGTAACCATTCTCTCACATTGGACAGCTTGCTACGGAAAAAGGTCCAATTGTCCTGTTGGGCTGTGCATTTGTATCGCGTTGTAAAATGCATGGAATGACATCCATACGTGCTTCACGACGGTTTTACCAAAACCCAAAACTGGACTTTAATGACAACAACACGTTCGACTCAACCAGCCACAATTTACGCTGTCCAAGCACGTTCGGCATGCATGTATTACTCGCTGCTAGTATTGCTAGCCACCCCGGTTAGTTTCCAACCACATGCAGATCGCCAGTCACCTTGCATGTGCCAGAATTTGGTGGTAATATGACAACGATATCACTGCAGTCGTCCGGGATACATGAACCGTACTATGGGTTTGAAGGAGACAGCATTGATGCGCGAGATATGAAGCTGTAGGCTCAGCCCTTGTTTTTTTTTTTACTAAAGTATTCCGATGTATCTATTTAGGCTAACTCGCTTTGCTATTATGTTTTTACACACACTCAGCTTGACCGATCCGGCTTGTGAGTATCGCGGGGACGGAAGGTGGCTTGGATCTCCTCGGTGCTCTTGCCTGCGGTCTCTGGGATCCAAAACTGAGTGAAGAAGAAAAACGCGGCGGTGGTCACCATGAAGGGGACAAACTTGTACTCGTCCAGTGCATCCGAGACGTATGGGAAGAAGACGCCAATGATCAGGTTGCAGACCCAGTTGATGAAAATGCACATGGAGACAGCAGTGGCGCGTACCGAGTCCGTGAACAATGCAGCCGTAATAGGCCAGATAAGCGGCCCAACGCTTACGGAGAAGAAAGCAACGAAAGTGCCCATAAAGACGATAGAGAGCACCTCGACCGACAAAGCAAGCGCCAGTGTAATACCCGTAGCGCTAATAAACATACCGGCCAATCCAGTAAGCAGCAGCCGTCGATTGCCGAATCGCTCCGACAGTCGCGCGACGGCCATCGTTGGCAACAGCATCAGAACGTACACAATGACGCCGCCCACACGGCCGTCAGAGACGCCTGCATCCGAGAAAATGTCGGACGAGTAATAGCACACCGCGTTGATACCGGTAAGCTGCTGCGCAGCCGACACGCCGAGAGCGACCAGAAGTTGCTTGATAAAGAGCGGCGAAAACAGCAGTGACAGCGTGCCGCCTTCATACTGTTGCTCTTCAGATAGCGGCTCGGACTCGAGATCAGTGTTGACACTTGGCTCCATCCACGACAGCGCCTGCGGTACGAATCCATGACCGTACAGCCTGGCAATCTCTTGCTCTGCACGCTCCCGGTCACCTTTCTCCAGTAGCCACGCGGGACTCTCTACTAGAACAAACGGCGCGAACGCCAAGAAGAAACCGGCATTTAAGACGGGGAACGCTGCGATGTACCGCCACCCGCTGCTGGTATCCGCGAAGAAGAAGCTGATGGTTACTACTAAGATACCGGCCGAAAGAGATACCTGCATGAACGTGCCGTACGAGTTACGGCGACTCGGAGGCGTGATCTCACTGATGTAGCCACCCACCATACCCGTCGCACAGCCCGACGCGATACCGGCAACGATACGCCCTACCATGAAGACCGGAATACTGGACGTGCTCGCTTGAATCACAGCGCCTGCCAACATGACGATGGCGTTCACTAGCAATACCTTCTTACGTCCGAAGCGCTCGGATATGGCACCACAGCCAAGACTCCCGATCATACCACCTACAATCCATGCATTCACGATCAACGTCCATTCAGTGCTGCTGTGCCCGGGGAACATCAGGCACGTTCCGTCGACTACCGGGCGTACGTTGCAGTCGTCCTCGTCGTTGAAAGTCGTGAGGTTTAGTTGACCGACCGACCAGCCGAACTGGAAGGGAAGCAGCAGCAGCACTGCGAGGCTGCACCAGAATGTCGACGTGAGCGGGACGGCCTTGTCGGCCAGGACATCGCCAGCCTTGGGCGTCTTCACTTCAGTGAACACCGCGTCTTCGACGACCATGGATGTGGCAGTTCGGTAGTCGATATGTCGCCTTGGTGATAAGATTTAGAATGAGAGTGCCAGCCCGGTGCGAGACCGTGCCACACCATCGCTTGGCCGGCCGGTAGACACGCAAAAAGCGACCTTTTTGTGCGGATCGCAGCACAGGGACGGGCGGTTTTAGTCGTGCATGCATGCACAGCCTTACCTCGACCGGCTACGCTTTGCCGGTGCAAGTCCGACATCCTGTTCGGATGAACGCGCAGGCTGCGTAGGATGTCGTTGGAGGCATTTCTATCGCCGCCATGAGTCGGTGGGCGGCACATTTACGCCGGTGTAAGCCATTTTCCGGTGCGTGAGTTCGTCTACGCATCTGTCCTGAGCTTAGTCGCATTCATTACAACTTCAAGTTGCAGTTGTTGTTGCTTTTTTTCAGCCCGTTAGGCAGCGTCCTTGTGCTTCACTCGTATGCTATCCTGTTGTATTCATGCTTGCATTTTGAGCTTGTTTTTTGCCGTTCGCTTGCGTGCCACGCTTCACCCCCATCGACGATTACGATTTACTGGAATGTAGCGAGCGAGGAATCATTGATAGCGACGGCTATTTACCGCCATTCCAACAGAACACTCCGTTCACTTCAAACAACACAGCGACATCCATTATATTTTATCATAAACCACTTACTTACTTACACAAACTTATCCCAGCACCGGGATCTGACTGTTACCAGACATTCGCCACTGAGGCTTCTTTTTAGATTTCTGCCACTTGGCGTTGAACTCGTCTTGGATCTCTTGGATGGTCTTGCCGTACGTGTCAGGCACGATGGAGAAGAAGAAGAGGAACGACAGTGTGATCGTGTACATGAACGGCACGAAGCTGTAGTTCTCCAACGCAGCAGCGAGATACGGATACACCAGTCCGATCGTTAGACTGCACAACCAGCTACAACCCACACAAATCGAGCAGCCCACGGCTCGCACGTCGTCCGGAAAGAGATCAGCCATGACTCCCCACGCCAGTGGCCCAAGACTCGCACCAAACGTAGTCACATAAAGAGCAACGAACACAATGGCCAGTGGAGACAAACTAGCCACAAGCGACACGGTAATACCCACCGCACTAAGCAGCATGCCCACGAATCCGTACAAGATGAGCATACGGTTACCCACACGAGCCGCTAGCATTCCACAGACCAAAGTGGGTAAAACATTCACAAAATTGACCAACAAGACACCAATTCGACTGTCCGAGAGTCCGGCCTGCTTGAAAATACCGGAAGAATAAAAGAACACAGCGTTCACACCCGTGAGTTGCTGGGCTCCGGCCACACCGATGGCCGTCAGCATCTGTGGAAGCAGCAACCTTGAGAAGAGTTTCGAGAGCGAGCTCTGTTGTCCTGCATCTGCGGGTGGCGCTATCATTGACATGCCGAGGTCCTGCAGTCGAACGCTTCCTTCACGTTTGGACTCGGGGTCTTCTTGCTGCTGGTTGATCCATTTCTTGGCGGTGTACACATTGTCCTCACCAAATAGACGCGCTAGTTCTTTTTCCGCCTCGTTAGGTTTGTTCACCATCAGCAACCATGCGGGACTTTCAACCAGCACGACGGGTGCCAGAAGCAGAAACAGTGACGCTAGTACGATGGGGAATCCAGCGATATACCTCCAACCAGTACTGGTACTGGCAAAGAAGAAGGTGATCGCAACTAACAGGTGGCCGAGTGTGATGGAGATCTGGAAACACACGCCCAGTTTACTGCGGAGGTGTGGCGGACAGATTTCTCCAATGAATCCCGGAATGACGGCCGTTGAGCCGCCCGCCGCGATACCGGCGAAGACGCGGCCAACTGTGAATATCGTAATGTTACAAGCAGCAGCCTGGACTGCCCCACCTGCTATCATGAAGAGGCAGTTGGCCATCATAGTAGGTTTACGACCGAACTTGTTGGACACTCGTCCGGTTAAAAGAGACCCGATCATGCCTCCAACAATCCAGGAACTGACGGCAATGGTCCACTCCGTCTTGGTGTGGCCGGGGAACATGAGGCAGGTGCCTGGTGCGATGGGTCTTGCGTTGCAGTCGACCTCGTTATTGAAAATCGAGTTGTTCATTTGCGAGGTGGACCATCCGAACTGTAGCGCTTGCAGTACCGCCACAAGGATATTGGCGTATAACCTCCAAGTCGGCTTTACCACTGCTGTCTCCTCTTCGATTGCTGGTGCAGGCATCATAACCATGGGCGTCGGGGCTACCCAGACATACCCACTGGTACTGCTGATCATCGACGCGGAGAAATCCATGGTTTCCGCGAATGTGTTAAACAGTTAAACCACGTCCTCGCAGAGACTTAGACTTGTGTCTCCGAAAATTACCGACAGCGTCCGTCGGGCAAGTACCAAAGTGGCGTTCTACAATCTTGCTAACATGTAAAGTACATGCTGTGAGTTTCGTGAGTCCTTCGACTCGCCAGTCCCTTATTTCCTGTGACATATACAACCGTGCGCTCATAGATGGCGATGCTTGCTTTGCCGAGATGGGGGCAGAATCAATAGCCTTGGGAACATGTACAGTCGGTGTAGTGCACTAGGCAGGCGTGCCGTCCGTGTGTTACATGCACGCAAATTATGGATCGCCACTGATTAAACTACTGCCACAGATTCTACGAACAACTGGTTGTCCGATCCAAAGAGCGGTCAGCAGAACGGACACTATCAAATTACGCACAAATACCGTAAAAGTGTCTTCCAGCCCGGAAGTTCCACGAGGTAACGGACCAGATACATGAGCGGAATCGAGCTCAATAGCAGGGATGTTCATGACATGGGGCACACGACTCCGATAGTACATGTAGCCGTATAGGCGAGCAGCATGAGTTTCGACATCACCTGGTACAATAAAGCTTTGACAACTGTTTACGTCCATCATGATGATCATGAACAACGACCCGTAAAATAGGTTTGATTTGCATGAAAGCGATCGACGACGTGGAGTGGCGATTGGTCACTGGGGATTTCGTCGAGAAAGCAAGCACGTTGTTGAATACAGTAGCACATTCTTCTTTGGGAGACTTGAGATATCGGGAAGCCGATTCGTTGAACAATGTAGGCGAATTGGCCCGTGGGAATACTCAGAACCAGTATTTAGATGATATCAACGAAAGTACGAACTTTCGATAGGCTGCCCGCGTCGGTCCAATTATTCTTTAGGGCTGTTTCGGTAAAGCGGCATCGAAGTGCATCGAAGGAGCTGTTTTCGCCGTACCAATCTGTAGATGCAGAGTACTGTATAAGCATACCGGTACACCTGTAACGACAGACGAATGCTTGGTAAACAGCAGCAAGGATACCAGGTACTGCAACATCACCCGATAATTTGCCAGGTCGCTTTTGATGATCACTGTACTATCCAGCGTACGCGTGCCTTGGTGGCGAGCACGGGGACACCATCGTTTGACACTGGAAGTTCGTGCAACAACAGCACGAAAAATACCTTACAGTTTAGATAACTTGTTTACGGTACATTTCATTCAACTTCACCCTGAAAAAATCAAGGTTTCTCCTGAAAAAGGCATCCTATACATGTAGATTCGCCAACTCCGACTTGTTTTTCGACGCCCGCCGTGCGTAAAACTCATCTTGAATCTCCTGCATTGTCTTCCCGGACGTGTCTGGTACGAACGAATACACAAATACGTACGATAGCGCCACAGTACACATGAACGGTGTGAAGCTAAAGTCGCCCAAGGCCGCAGCAATGTAGGGGTAGCTCAGACCCACCGTGAGATTCGACAACCAGCTACATCCCACGCATACAGAGTTGCCCATAGGTCGAGCTTCATCCGGGAAGAGGTCAGCCATGACAACCCACGCCAGAGAACCGAGACTTGAGCCGAACGCAGTGACGTAAGTTGCCGTGAATACGATCGCGAGAGCAGGCAAACTGGCAACAAGCGACGCCGTGATACCCAATGCACTCAAGAACATCCCGGCTAAGCCGTATAACATCAGCTTACGGTTTCCTAAACGCGCCGCCAGTATCCCACAAAATAAGGTTGGCAGCACGTTGACGAAGTTAACGGCCGCGATGCCAAACCGGTCGTCCGATATGCCGGCTTGCTCAAACAATGTGGACGAGTAGAAGAAAACGGCATTAATACCCGTGAGTTGCTGGGCTCCAGCAATTCCGATAGCTGTCAAGAGCTGCCGAATAAGCACCGGCGAAAACAATCGAGCAAACGTGAACGGTTTATCTGAATCTGGAGATAATGACGCGGTCGATTCCTTCGGTAGTGCACTACTGGAAGTCAGGTGGTCCTGCTGAAGCCACGTCTTGGCAAGGTACACGTTCTCTTCGCCAAAAAGACGTGCCAGTTCTCGTTCCGCGAGCTGTTGCTTTCCCACCACTAATAGCCACGCGGGACTTTCGACAATAATGAAAGGTGCTACTAACAAGAACAACGTCGCCAAAATAACGGGAAATCCCGCAATGTAGCGCCAGCCACTTTTTGTGTCGGCAAAGAAAAAAATAATTGCCACAAATAAATTACCGATCGTGATGGCCATCTGAAAGCCTACACCGAGGTTGTTGCGGAGGTTTGGAGGGGAAATCTCGCTGATGAATCCAGGGATAACTGCAGTTGCACCGCCTGACGCGACACCGGAAACCACTCGTCCTCCAATAAACATCCAAATACTAGAAGCGCTGGCCTGTACTACTGCGCCGGTGATCATGAAGACGCAATTAGTCATCATGATCCGCTTGCGACCGAATTTGTTGGAGACGCGTCCGATGACGAGAGCGCCGAGCATTCCACCAAAGATCCAGGCACTGACGGCGATAGTCCATTGGGCTTTGGTGTGTCCAGGGAACATGAGGCAAGTGTCCGGGGCCACTGGTCTGGCGTTGCATTCGTCTTCGTCGTTGAAAGTATTCAGATTCAGTTGCGACGTTGACCATCCGTATTGCAGAGGCTGCAGCAGCGACACCAAAACGTTGGCGTAGAGCACCCAGCGCGGTCGAATTGATGCATAGGTTTCCGGCACAGAAGATATTCTGGAGACAGATTTTGGCGTAGGCGCTACATGGATGTAGTCACTGGCAGGGTTTGACGATGGCGATGGTATTTCCATTACCCTTCCCACACGATAAAGTAATAATGGAGTTGCATGCAGTCCGAACGTTCCTCGATTTCACTCGTAGACGAGGCCTGAGTCCGCATAATGTGCCGACTCCAAATCGTGACGGGAGTGAACGCAGTTGCCCGGATTCCACGGTCTGCGAGACCAGACCAAATGGACACTAAGCGACATTAAGCGTCCAAGTCAAGTCATCAACGATGAGCTCATCGTCCACTAATACCCGTGAAAAATGGCAATGAAACTGTACTAACACATAATTCAGATGCTTATGAAATATTAGAGAAGTAGTTTTAAACGTCTTTTCGTAAAAAAAGATCGAAAGGTATTATTTTATACGATATCCGGATAGAAAGCAATTTGGTAAGTTATTCGGATAGAAAGTATATCCGGATAGAAAGCAATTTGGTTAGAAATTCGGATAGTAAGTTAGTTATCCGGATAGGAAGCAAATTGGTTAGTTAACTGCTTTGGGCTACCGCATTGAAGTAGTTTAAACGCATTTCGAGAGGTGGATACTTGATAATTTAATCCAATATCAAACAGCCTTCGAAATGACGCGCAGTTTTGCCATGTCGATTGTTCACGCGCCGGTGTTGATGATAAGCGTGTTGATTGCTCAGGTGACCCAGCGTGTACGGCATTGATTGCACCACCGCGACTTTTGCCCAGTTTTTACTGTACATAACGACATTTCTGCTTTCGAAAACGCAATTACTACTGAAAAATTAGCCAAAAAAGAACATTTGGACACTTTTTGCCGTATTGAGAAAAGTACTGTCAAAATGGTACTAAAAAGTGGCCGGAAGTCTTAATTTCATTAAGGTTGGATGTTTTTCAACGGGAGAAACCCATTGATTTTTCATGTTTTTTTCCCGCTGAAAAACATCATCCAAAATTTCAAGTAAAAGTGTACTTTGCGAAAATTGGTGTAGGAACACAAACATTAAAAATTAATGAATAGCATCCAGATCCCTAATTTAGTATTTATTTACCGAATTTGGGGAGAATGTGTACTATTGCGAAATTTGAAACCGCTGAAAAACCGGTTGTAATACTTTTCAATTAAAAAAACCGATACGTAACGGTTATGAAGAAAGTATCAAAAATCAGATTGAGAACAATGCACGGCCAAGTGAATGCCTCGGCGCAGACTGGCGGCGAGCGGAGCGGCACGTGCGCGTACCAGGACGCGAATGCGCAGCGCGCTGCAGGTCGCATTAAGGCGGCGGTGGTTGGCGCGGGTTTTTTGGGTAGATGCATCGCCATTGACCTGTCCCTATTGGGAGTCCAAGTGATCGTGTGCGATACGAACCCGCAGACTGGCGACGCGGTTCGTAAAGTTGGCTGGGAATTGGCTGTAATATGATAATTTATTCCTGCTATATCGGCGTGTTGTGTTAGTTATCTTCGTATGCGTACGAGTTGCTCCACCCGCTGCTGTATCTCGGCTACGTTACGAAGAGCATGATGACCCAAGCATGCGGCAACATCACGGTAGTCACGGATGTGGCGCAGTGTGCCGACGCTGCGATCGTCATCGAAGCGGTGAGGCATAAAGTGGAAATGGTTCCCATTAGCAGTTATGATAGTTACACGTCTAATGAATTAATTTCCTGTTAGATACCAGAGAACTTGGAGGCCAAAGTGAAACTTTTCAAGACACTGGAGCAACACTGCTCGGCTTCAACGATCTTAACCACCAACACGATCGAGCTCCCGATCGACTCAATTCAGTACGTTAATTCTTCTTTAGGAAAAAGAACATTGCCGGTTCTTACTGTTATATTTCCTTGTAGGATGCACCTACAGCACCCAGACCGTTTTTTGGGCATGCGATTCTTCTACCCGTGCGTGCTCATGTCCCCCGTGGAGCTCACAGTAGGGACGTCCACGTCGCAATGCACAGTCGACCGCGTCGTCGCCTTCTTGCAACGTCTGGAGAAGCAACCGCATCGCGGTCCGACCAAGCGCGTGTTAACCAGCAAAGAGGCCAGCGCTTTCCAGTTCGACGCGGCTGTACGTGGGCACTTCTACCATGGATTGCTGGAGCCCAAGCGCGTGTCCTCCGTGGCCGACATCATCACTCCTCAGCCCGGTCCTCCTCTGGTTGGACCCAACTTTAACGCAGACAGAACGTCACTTTAACCGTTACGAACATGTCCACAGTTAATACCCGTTTTAGTGACATCACAAACCTGAAAATGCCTCTGTACGGGGAGGTGCTCGATGCGCGTAAAGGCCGCTGCGCTGTGGCCTCAGCGGCGCTACGCGCTGGATCTTGCGTGCTCCGTACATCCGCTGTGTGCGCCGTGTCTTCCTCTTCCTGTGGGTGGTGTTTTACGCCCCAAGCCGCTCTCCAGCGCTGTACAGGCTGCCGTAAAGCTCGCTACTGCTCTCGCACATGTCAACAGCGCGACTGGCCGCAACATCGGCGCGAATGCCAGGCTTGGCGCTCCATCCCAGCCAACAATACTTCACCTACCGTCTTGCTGGTGTCTCGTATTGCTGACAAGCTTTTTCTAGGCTCTGAAATCAACCAGGAAGAGAAAAATCGTGTGCTGAAGCTACGACATCATTTAGATGACCACACGGAGCTTCAGCGGCAACAATTCCATGAAATGACGCAGTTAATACTTCTTCTTTTATCTAGATATAAAGGAGACAAAGGGAAGCAGATCCCGAGCTTCGATAAACTCCAGAACGACCTGGAACCAGAGATACTCAAACTCTTTGGACTAGTCAATTGCAACGCCTTCTCGATCGCAAACGACGTGACCAACGAAGCTGTTGGCATCGGATTGTTTCCCGAAGGAGCACTATTTAATCACGACTGTGACCCAAACTGTGTCGTGAGTTTTAAAGGCCAAGAGATGAAGGTGCATGTGATTAAGGACGTGGAGCCGGGGCAGGAGCTTACAGTCTCGTACGTTGAGTTGCTGCAGTCGACCAAAAAGAGGCGAACTGAGCTGAAAGCCTCGTACTTCTTTGAGTGCCACTGCACACGCTGCTTAACGGAGACGACGGACGACTGGTATCTGGATGGACTTGAATGTACCAACAAGGAATGCGTCAATGGTGTTGTAGTGGTGGCTGACGGTGATGTTGATAATGCTATCTGTAAATTATGTGGCACTGCACGTAGTGGAGCTGAGATTAGTAGATACGAACATGAGATGAAGATGGTTGAAGCACTGAAGGTTAACTCTGAAGAGGACAAGTGGAAAATGTATCACCAGCAAATGTGGGAAATTGCGACGACTAAGCTGAATTTACATCCACGGAGCACACGGGTAGCTGTGATGGCGCGTGAGATCAGCAATTTCCTGCTAAATGCAACGTCTGTGGAGTTACAGCGCCAAGCTCTTCGGTTTTGCTGGGTAGAGCTACGCGCAGTCGAGTGGCTACTACCAAAGACCAAACTCCCGTCTAGAGGTCTCCTGCATTTCCAGATCGGTAAGCTTTTATTCAAAGAAGTTACCACTTCTATGTCGTCTGTAGCTCGAGCTGAACAGCTTCAAAACACTACGAAACATCTTCAAGAAGCTCTTTCAGTGTACGTGTTCAAGTCTGTAGATAAAATATTATGTGTATTGATTAGACTTTTTTGTAGGTTGGACTGCGCATGTGGAAGCGACAGCGATGCAGTGCAGGCTGCGCAGTTGATGCTGGACGACGTTCGTCGCGCCGTTCAGCTTCCTTAACTGTTACAAGTTAAAATACGGGTCAATCTTCGCTTTGTACGCAGCCCTGACATACGCCGAAGGGAGTAGCTTGTTCAAAACTGCCTGGCCAAGCAACTGAAGTCGCGGATTGCTCGGGAACTCGAACATAACTTGATGCACTGTACGCACAAGCATGAGATCGCTGTTAAGTGTTACAGTGTCAACGAGTGTGCCGTAACCCTTGCGGTTATCCTCCTGGTTACTCTCTGCATCGTTCATAGCTCGAAGCTTCTCGTTCGTCGCATACAACGCACGCTGAATAAGCGCCTCGTCTAAAGGATTACGCTCGACTAGTTGGATGATCTTACTGAACGTCCATTGTGGTGTCGGGTTATAGTGCTGTTTCCGGAGTTTAGTCTTGGCCATGGCAAGGAAATAGGCTTCTTCATCCGCAAGACTCTCGAACTTATCGTGGCAGCGTTTAGCAACATCGTGACTTGAAATTTCTGGAGTGCAGCGTCGTAATGAGAGTGCGTACAACGGCGTAACAGGTTGATTTCTAGACTTTTTCTCGGTCGAGAGACTTGGTGTAGCATCCAACAGCGTCAACAGCACTTGGTAATCCGGTACTCTGGTGTTCGCAGCCATCAGCAAGGCACGTAAACCACGGCGTTCTTCCGTATCAGCGAGAATCTCTTTACAGTGGTTTACCAAGACTTTCGCGGTGTCAACGCTGACATGGTGCAGTATCGCCAGGTGTAGTGGTAATTGTCGTTTTGCATTGTATGTTCGACAGCCGTCGGTGTAGATTTCACATAATTTGTGTAGAATCTCCAGGCTGACTCCATTTGCTGCTGCGACGTGTATCGGGAGGTCTCCAGTTGGAAGAGAAATCGACTTACAAGACGTAGGCATGAGGCTAATTAACAGAGAGAGCAGACGCGTTGCTTGGGGCTGGTGGATAAGAGCATAGTGCAGTAGCGTTGTTTGAGTTCCGACTATTGTTGTGACCTCGAGTAGAGCATTTTCCTGGTTATCTGGGAGTATTTCGGCCGTGAGCGTGAGGATTCTTACTGCCATTTCTTCTGGGAATCCGTATTTTATCGCGAGATGAATCGGTAAGAGCCCGTTGCTACGTTTTACAGTTAATAGTGCTGCAGGGTAGTGCATCACCAAGAGATCCACAAGCCACAACCAGCCGATGTCAGTATCTCGCTGTTTTTCGTGTTCAAAGCCATCCATAGCAAGATGCAAGGGCAGATCACCATGTTTAGTAGCTGTGGTACACAATTCATGCGCGTTAAAGTGCTTAAAGAACAGCAAAACTGCAGTTCTTGAGCGTGGAGAAACGAAATTTCCTCCCGATTGTCGCTGTTGAGTAATACACGAGTGAAAAGCAGATTCTCCACGCTCGTTAAATAACTTCGGTACCTTAGTCTTGATTTCTTCACAAGCTGCAAAAGCCCACTGTAATACTTCAACTGATGCACGATGAAGGATGGCTACATGTAGCGGGGTATCTCCACAGACTGTTTGACGCTCCCAAACTGAAATATTCCCCCCTTTTTGTCGATTTTTTAGTATCTGCGGCTTCTGAGCTAGGATAGTGAGTATCTCAACACTGGAGTGTTCACGGAACCCAATATGTAGAGGTGTCATACCAAAGACATCACACTCCGTTAGTGCCGCGGGGTATCCGTCCACCATTGCACGTATAAGTGCAACACCAAAGTGCGAGCGGACTGCATAGTGAAGCGGCAAATTGGCTGCTGCATCACCTCCACGCTGCATGAGCTGTCGACGACGACGTCGAGCGATTAGTTCCAGTAGTACCAAATCAGGTTCAGGAGAGCGCAGATGCGTCCAAATGTTGCCAAGCAAACGTTGCTGCACTAACGAAGTCACGTCATACGTGTAGAACGCACTAAACGCCAACATCGGACGGTGTTTGGAGCCTTCTGACAGCGAGGGTAAGCACATTTGATCGTAGAAATCCTTCTTCGCACGACGCTCTGATAAACGTTTGTCGAATTGGTACTTTTCAGCCTTAGAAGAGCAATTACCATGCTCCAAAGGGGCGATTGAAGACGTGCTGATGGGGTATAGCGGTCGATTGAGAAGGATTTTACCGGTAAGAATATCTGTGAAGTAATACAAACGAGTTCGTGGATCGATATGCTTCTGAAAGCGTTCGCACACCAGATTAAACATAAATCTCCGTGCCAAATGACCTCGTACTAGTGCTTGGATCCGCTGTGCAGCATCAGGTTTTAAAGGTGGGTCTATGCGTATTGCAATGTCAGCTATGATCGCTGCGACGCAGTCTACCACTTCGGGTTCAATCCATGACACATCCAAACGTTTTGCACCGTACGCTCGCTTCTTTGTTGGGATGAATGCACGTAATTCACGCCACTTTTTCAACTTCTCCGCTTCGTCGTGTTCAGCTTGTTGTTCGATACGTTTCTCGAGAAAATCATCTCTCCAATCGCTCAAAACCCCGCGTAAATCAGCGAGTGTAACTTTCAAAGCTCTGTCTTTTACCATCTCTAGACTCACGGCCAGTGAAGCTACAGCGTCACTGGTAGTTAAGTGAGGTGCAATAGTGTCAACTGTTGGTTTAGAGACAGCGTCTCGACGTGTTTGATGTACCGTAGCAGCATTTACAGCAGGTCGGCGATGCTCGAAAGCTTTCCAGAATGCGAGGAATTCTTCCAGATTAATCCGACCGTCTCCGCTAGAGTCCATGACCTTCATCATACGGTTAATCTGTGCGATATCCATCTCATGTCCAAGAGCTTTAACGAGTTGGAGCAGCTCATGCTCGTCCAAAGCTCCGGAGCCATCGGAGTCAAAGGTTTTAAACAGTACAGAAATCTTCTTGACGCGTTGCTGCTCCGCTTCGTGTTCGGTTATGGCTGTGGCTTTCTCATTCATTACGTTTAAAGTGCGCATTTGTTTACGACGTCGACGTTGTTTCTCTCGAGCAGCAGCTTGAGCTTCGTGTTGTGCTCGAAGCTCAGCTTGAGCGCGTTGTTTGGCTCGTTGCAGCTCCAGCTTCTCTCGTTCTGTAGTTTCAAAGGTATCGTACCAGTTAAGAAAGCGTTCGAGAGAGACTAATTGGTCCATAGGATCTGTTACCAGCTCGTTCAATGCTCGACGGTATGCCAAGCCACGCAATGGGAACTCGCCTAAGAAAGCTACGAGACGTGGTAGTAAATTCGACTCGAAACATTCTATTGCATCAGATTCATCTTTCCCATGAACGAGTACTATTCCATCTGCATTTTCGAGAAATTCATGACAAATTTCACGACGACGCTGTTCACGAGTTATACTTTCAACTTCGTCAGTCTCTTTGACTTCCAGCTGGAGTTTAGTTTTCCACCAGAGCTGGAACTCCTCGAGCGTCACAGATCCATCGCCACTAGCGTCGAGGACACTAAAGACCTGTCGTATCTGAGTGTCAGTCATGGATGTGCTACCACGGCCCAAAAGTGCGCGATAAAATTGTTGAAACTCATCGACTGTCATCTCGCCACTCTCGTCCACATCATATTGACGGAAAACCCGCGCAATCTGTTCATCTGCCGATAGATTTTGCCCTCCAAGTTTGGTGAGCATTGTTGCCATTTGTGTCTGTAGTTGAGGTGGATCCCATTGCGTTACGCCATTCACCTCGTGATAGTAGTAAGTCTGCCCTTCCGAGGCCTCAACCTCCTCCCAGCCACCCATATCCACTTTCTTCGTGCAAAATATTAGCCACGCACGGATTATATTTTCATCAATCGAGATAGATTCCTCATCGTCTGCTGTGGATATTCCAAATCGATTCTGAAGATGGGTTATTACTGCTTGAACGTGTTGTTTTCGAGTCATTTGGTGCTCAAACTGTGTAAATACCCGCCAGCACGTCTCTAAATTCCATCTACGATTCTCAAGTGCTGTGGATCCACTTGTTTGCCTTTGAATATCGAGGAAAAGATCGATTTTTTGTGTCCAATCCATCTTGCTACTAGGAAATAGATGGTTAAGTCGATCGGCTACACGCTGCTCCATTGCTGGATGACTCCATCGTTCTTGCAACGTTGTTGTGTGACGATAGAGAACTGGTGTTGTGCGTCTGTTAAGCTGATCGATTCGCTCCCACGAAGAATATTTTACTTCGCCTAGTCTTGTACGACGCTGAAATGGTGCGGTAACCATCCAGTAATACTTCAACGCTTCCCACGACACAACAGGTTGATCCGAAACAGGAGAACTGTACGGATCTATTTCTTGGATTAGAGTTAGAAGACCTTCACGGCCATTAGTGGACTGCCCCACGTGCACACACAAGTCTTCGAACTCGGCAGGGTCTAAATAACCAGATTTATCTTCGTCATATTTGACAAATAACTCTCGAAGTTGCTGTATCATTTCGCGAGTGTCATCTGATTTTTCACTTAGAAAATTAGGGATTCCATCACGAGATATTTGCAGTTCTTGCTGATTCTTTTCGTGAATTTCCAAATGATTCCACAGGCAGCGTATCAAACTCGGAAGCTCCCAGATACTCTCGCCTGAGAGTGTATTGTAGTAGAATACTGCGGATTTATTACCAAGAGCCAAGTCAGCCTCAGATACTTCTTGAATTACCTCCTCCCACGCTGGTGTTGCCTCTGGGATTAGACGTGGTGCCGCTGCACGCTCCTCGGCGTGAATTTCGTTTAGTAACCACGTCACAAAGTCATGGCGTAAGATCATCATGGAGTTTGTTGTATCTAACTCCTGCATCAAGCGAAATTGTTCGTGCGCATCACGTAGTGGCCGCCCTATCTGACGACAAAGTTCAGGTAGTTCACCGAGTTCTACACTTTCACCGTGAAAATTGGGTGCCAATTCAAGGAAAATACGATACACGTCGGTGTCCACTCGCCAGTATTCATTGGGGTCATATCCAGCATCTTGTTGTGCGTGGCTGTCGTAACCAGCGTCGTCAGGGTATGAAGACCAGGGATCACCTTCCCAACCTTGCTCTGCCATGGCAAACCCGACAGTTCGTTAAGAGTCGCGATTTCTTTTTACAAAACTTCAATATATTTCCAGTCCTGAGAATTTTTACAAACCGATTTTTACAAACCGAAGACAGGATACCCTACAAAAAAAACTAGGAACAAGCTGCGTTTTCTAAACTGTATACAAAATGCCTGCGTTCTTGAAGTCGGTCTTGCTCAGTGTTTGCTTGACAAAGGGCAGCACCTTGACAATGGCACTAAAGTCTGGCCGTCGTGTTGGGTCCTGATTCCAGCAGTGCTCAATTAGCTCGGCGATCTTGGGCGGCGTGGTATGTGGCAACGCCGGCCGCATCTGATGCTCGGCCACCGCCATCGCAGCTACAACATAATGATAATAATAAGTTTTTTTTTTTTTTTTCATCATAAGCCAACATTTTCACAGTCAAACTCGTACTCTGCATTGGTGTCTGTCCCTTGAATGGAATATCCTTGGCCAGCAGCTCCCACAAGACAACAGCGAAGCTGTACACGTCGGCCTTGCTGGAGTAAGGCTCATGCCGGATAACCTCGGGGGCCATCCACCCATACGTGCCCGTCTCGGCCGTCCGGTCGGCCGACCGGCCCACCTCCATGACACAACTGAGACCAAAGTCCGATATTTTGGCCGTGCCCTGAGCGTCCAGCAGCACATTGCTGCTCTTAAGGTCTCGGTGCATGACCGAGTGTTCGTGTAGGTAACTCATACCTTGGGCCATGTCGTTGGCCAGACGGAAGAAGTCCAGAGGAGCCTTAGCCTTGGCTCGGACCAGGGCCGACAGTGTGCCGCCCTCCATGAACTCGAACACGAGGCAATAGCGTGGCGGTGCGCTGGCTGAGCCTAGGAACTGCACAATGTTGGGATGCCGAAGCGCACTGGCCACTTCTTCCTCGCGACGGAGTTCTTTGAGCAGCTCATCGGCCAGACTCTTTTTGCTGGCGGTCGACAGGTCCACGACCTTGGCCGCGACGTGCCGCCCGTTCCAGTGTGCGCTGAAGGTGCTTCCCGAGCGCCCGGAACCAACGGCCTTGCCCAACTTAACTTCGGAGAAGTCCAATGTGCCCGAAGAGGACGAGGACGACGACGACGAGGACCTGCTCTTCTTGCGCCCGAACAGTGGCATTTTGATTCACTTTGCGGTAAAGTCACGACTAAAAAAATGCGGGGCTGCAATTGATGCGGAAGTGAAAATATAATAGGTTGTGAAACTAAATAAGAAAGGATGAAAGTTTGTGTGGAGTTGGATCTCGAAGAGTAATATGCCTGTGGAATTGCATTTGTTGTCCAATGACAACAGAGCCCTAGCATTGAACTTACGGTTCGGTGACCAATGTGAATCATTTTATGACCCGCAGAAATTCTATATCTTCACATCAAGGTTGTCGCTAGGCATTGAATTTCTCCTTGTTTGGCGAAGCTGGCCATGGCCGGAAGGTGTTGTTGGTTACTCGGATACCAAATTGCACTGTATTATTTATCAAAAGTGTCCGTGCACTGGCAAGCATACACTCATCGAACCCCGACTCGGAGAGACACAGAACTCCTCCTCACCCTTTGTCGTCCATGCAGGATGGAGCTAGCATCAACCTCATTTTCATTTCGGACAGCGCGGTCGCAAGTCGAAGAACCCGAAGCCGCACAGACCTTCACCACCACGACTTGGAACTGAAAAGCATGCTGGGCAGCAGTCCCTGCCAAACATGAAACCAAGGCGCTCGCTTCAGGATCATGTCCCAATGCGAGTTTGGGTACACATCGACACCCATTGTCTTCATCCCTCTGCGATGCCCGTTTTGCCACGCATATCGGACTCTATCGAGCACTCTGTTTGACGAAGCGCGTGCTCCATAGCAATGGGATTTTAACGCCAAGCTCTTCTTGCCAGTGCGCTTGCTGACGTCACTCAGCAGCTCCATGCCGTCTCTCGATCTCTCCGCTGCGTCACTCTGATTACATGTCGGTCGCCGCAACCGCACAGCTATGATAAGCTCCAGCCGATTTGATGGTTCTGCTCCGACTCGCGGCGCTCTGGTGCTGTGGCCGCAAACGCTCAGTCATGTGTACTGATTGCGTTGCAAGTTAAACCGCGTTAGTTTACCTTGGGTTCGCATCAACTTGATGGCGAACCGAGATAATTGGTACGATGGGTGACCACATGGGTCGGAAATGGGCAACACTTTGAGATTCCAAAACGCAAAACGCAAAAAAAAAAAAAAAAAAAAAAAAAAAAATCCACAGAAGGATCTCCTTCCGCAAAGCAGCCAGCACTGTCATTCTTCAATTCGCGCTCTAGCACTCAAGTCCCATTCTCCACGATGACCATCAAGCTGTACGCCAACCTCATCAGCCAGCCCAGCCGTGCGGCCGAGTGGATCTTGCGTCTCAAGAAACTTGACCACGAGTTCGTGGCCGCGGACTTTGGCTCGGCCATTTTCAAGTCGCCCGAGTTCTTGAAACTCAACCCGAATGGCCTCATCCCGGTGTTGCAAGACGGCGACTTCTCCATCTTCGAGGGCAGCGCCATCATGCAGTACCTGGCCGAGAAGAACGGCTGGACGGACCTGTACCCGGCCGACGTGCAGGCCCACGCCAAGGTGAACCAGTATCTGCACTGGCACCACACGAACGCGCGCCACATCACGCCCAAGGTGCTCGTGCCGCTCATGCACACCAAGCAGAACGTGGCCACCCCGGAGGAGGCCATTCTCGTGAAGGACACGCCCGCTCTGCTCACGAAGCTGTCCGAGCTTATGGAGAAGTTCTTGGTTAAGGACTTTGTGGCCGAGACGGACCAGCCCACGATCGCAGACATCGCCGCCTACTGCGAGTTCGTGCAGGTGGAACTCATGGGCATCTACGACTTCTCCAAGTACCCCAAGCTCGCGGCCTGGCTTAAACGCATGAAGTCGGTTCCTCACCACGACGAGATCCACGCGCCCCTGGACCAGTTCCTCACCAGTCAGGAGCTCAAGACCAAGGCCGCTGCCAACGCGTAAGATCAAAAAGATACGCTTCGGTATCCCTCTGAAAAGTAATACATCTCATGTTCGATGTTTCTGATATTTGCGTTGTCACAAGTTAACGGCGGGGAAAAAATCTCTGAAAACTAATGTGGAAATCTTTGGGATGTGACAATTTGCTTTGACTGCGGTCAGAGTGACACTGTGAATTGCAAGATGACGTTGAAGCTGTACGCGAATCTGGTGAGCCAGCCCAGTCGTGCGGTGGAGTGGGTCATGCGGCTGAAGAATCTGGAGCACGAGCTGGTGCTGACTGAGTTTGGGAGTCGCACGTTCACGTCCGCTGAGTTCTTGGCGTTGAACCCGAACGGATTGATCCCAGTGCTGCAAGATGGAGACTTTGCGCTGTTCGAGAGCAGCGCTATACTGGTCTACTTGGCCGAGAAATTCGGCTGGACGGATCTCTATCCGGCCGACGTGCAGGCCCACGCAAAGGTGAATGAATATCTGCACTGGCACCACACGAACGCGCGTCTGATCACCATGAAGGTGCTGGTCCCGTTGAAGCGTGTCAAGCAGAACAAGCAGCTTCCGGACGACGTCGTGCTGGTGAAAGAAGCGCCGACGCTCATTGCGAAGCTGCTCAAGCTGATGGAAAAGTTCCTGGTCAAGGATTTTATCGCCGAGACGGATACTCCGACACTTGCGGACTTTGTCGCGTACTGCGAGTTCGTGCAGATCGAACTCATGGGCATCTTCCAGTTGTCGGAATACCCGAAATTCTCGGCCTGGATGCAGCGCATGAAGAGGACGCCAATGCACGATGAAATGCACGCCACGCTGAACGAGTTTCTGGCTAATCTCGGCCTGAAAACCAAGGCAAAGGCCAAGGAGGAGGAGGGTCAAGAGAATCCGTAATTAGGAACAGGAAGGCTTGGGTTCGGATTGACGCTATTGATTATTAACAAGCTTCAGGATTCTAATCCGAAGAATGCTAGTTTACTACGCTACCTTTCTAACCCGCTTCCGACGACGGATAGAACGGATAGACTCTTACTTATATTTCCACCTCGGAGTGGAGTTTCTCGTAGAGTTCTTCTAGCTCACGAGCAATCTCCTTTTTCTCGTTGGGGTCGGATTCGGGCTGCGCCTCAAGCTCGTGTTGCTTGTTGGTCAGCTCTAGAATCCGCTGATACAGCTTCACGACGGTCGTCTTGGAAACGTCCGCCCGGTCCTTGGCGGCCGACGCGCCGGCCTTGCCGGGATTAGCGGCGTCACTGTCGCCCATAGCGCTGTGATCCTGGCCACTCGAGTCTAAACTCAAACACATACTCTCCTCCGTAGGACGCAGATCTTCAGGCCGCAACAACGAGCCGAAGTTCATTGACAACCCGTTGATAGAATCGTCACGGCCGGCTGAATAGTCCAGACGGTCCTCGTCGTCCGCCACGCTAACGGTTTGTCCCGAGTTCGTAGGGAACGCAGGCGGTTTGGATGGCGGAGACTCGCCCGTCGGAGCCCCGTGACCTTGCGAGTGTGCGCTGTTGTGTGGACTACGGAAGAACGCGGGGAGTTCGGGACCACGGCGCTTTGTTGAGCCTTCAGAACTGCCTGTTCGTCGACGACGGGGCTTGGACGGCACGATCTCGGCCGCTTCCAGTTCCAGATCAAACGGGACCTGGTTCCGGAACATGGCCTCTTGTTGTTCCCATTGCGCTACCTGAAGCTGCTCCAGTCGCGTCAGCGGACGGTCAGACGATAAGGACGGAGGAGCAGGACGCTCCGGTTCCGGTTCCGGGTCGCGCACAGGCTTCTTACGCCTTGTCCGCTCTTCCTGTACAACCCGTCGCGCGGCGTTGCGTTCGTTCTTGGTCACGGGGCCTGGTTTCCCCATCTGCTTGGTGTGTTGAGCCAACAAGCTGGATGTTAGGAAGGACGGCGCGCCGGAACTAGCGCCACTCGACTGGCTGTACTGACTGAACTCGCTGCTGCTCAAAGACATGGACTCCAGTTCCTCTCGGTAGTTGTCCGGCTCCTCAACATGCTGCTGCTGGCGCCGTCGCATCAACGCTTCCTGTTGTTGTTGCTGACGTTGTAGTAGACGTTGCTTGTTCTGATGTTGCTGCAGCGCGCGCTGTTGACGCTGCAATGCTCGTCGCTGCTCCTCATCGCGGTACTGCGGAGGCGACACGCCGTACGTCTTGTGGTCGTACATGTCCGGGTTTCTAGGGTCATACTTCCTGCTGTCGTCGCGCCTTCTACTCGATGGGGGATAGTCGTCGTACTCGGCCGAGTCGTTCGTATAGCGATCCGAATCCAGACTCACATTGCCATATTCGCCCGGCATCTCCATCGTACGCGGGTACTCCGGATCCGGATCCTGGAAACTATCATTCTGGCTATCGTAGCTGTTGCTGTACGGCCCTCGTCGGCCCGAATGGTGTCGACGGCCACGGCCCTGACTGTCGTATTCATCGCTGTCACGACTAGGCAGGCCGCGCCGGCGCGACGTGGGAGACGACCCCGAGTCGCTCCGGTTGTAGCGCTCATACTGATAACCTGGCGCTCGCACGCTCATCAACGGCGGCTCATCGTCGTGCGCACTGTTGGTCTCTGAGTACTGTTCACTGGGCGGCAAGTCCTCGAATACGGACGGGTCTGTGTTCTGTGCGCACTTGGAGCACACGCGCACCTTCCTAACGCCCTGACCGGGGATCGAAACCTCCCATTCTGTACTACACGCAGACGCACACACGACTTCGCCGCACTTACGGCAACGCGCCTTACGTGTAATAAGCCCGAATTTTGCGGAACAGAGGTTGCAACGTGTACGTTGGCTCTTTGGCACAAGCTCTAAGTCGCCAAGGAACCGCTGAGCGCCAAGTCGTCGACGCGTGATCATTTTCTGCAGATCAGCGATGCTGGTCAGTCTCTTCTTCTGGATAGTCATAAACAGCGGCGTCGGCACCTTCATGCTGCCTTTCATGTTGACCTGTGCGCTGTAGATGACATCCAGGAAGCCTGGGCGCTCGCTCTCGACGAACACGTGGCCCGTGTGGTAGAAACTGCCTCGTACGAGGCCGTAGTCGCTCAGCTCCGGACAGCACGGCAGCTTGATGGAGTGGTAAGAACGTACCCAGCCGCGACGGCCACTGACGTCCATGAACGTGCTCTGACACTCGACCGTGAGGAAGTCGCGGTTCTTTAAGAGCTTCGACGGCATTTCCGACGCGAACCACTTGACCGTCACCTGGTTGGCGTTCAGCATCTTGCTGGAGCCGCTGCGTTGGCCGCGCGTGTTGTGTTTGGGGTCGTTCAGTAGCGACGGGTCCTCTATCACGTAGAGTAGCTGGGCGTCCAGCACATCGACGTTACATTCGACAAACTCGGCGACTTTGGCGTCCGTCGACAGGTCGAAGAAGTCGGCCACCTCGTCCAGTGTGGACTGGATGGTGGTCGCGCCACAGCCGTACGAGATCGACTCGCCCACCACCGTCTCCGGGTATCGGGCCTCGCCCTTATACATCTGCACTCCACGGTGCATTCCGGCCTCCTCCCAACGCACGGGTCCTTCATTGTTGCGCGTGGCGTCGACCAGCGCTTTGGCCGATTCCTTGGCTTTACCCACGAGATACTGTTCCTCTCGCTCTGTGAGCTCCGGGCGCTTAAAGAAGCGCGGCGGCAGCGGCAGCGTCTTGGTCATGAGACTGCGATTGGAATATGCGGCGCGACGGCAGCCGCGGGGGAAATGCGGGCTTGGGGAGTGGACTAGGAATGGACGACCTGTTCGCAGACTTCTACCCGCGGACGTGTGTCGTCGCGATGCTCAAGAGAAGAGCCGATAACTGCAGCTGGCTAAGCTTCCTGGCCGCGATGTACAGTGCTGGATCAGCAGCAAACGTCAGAGTCGCTGTCCGGAGACTCTGATCGAGGATGACGACGGATGAACCTGAGTCAGGTTACCTGACTTATACCTGCACTGAATTCTATATCCATTATCGACGTATGGGAATGACTAAGTAACAGCATTTTGATTTACGAACGTAGTGGTTCACCTCACGATAACAAAACACTAGTGAGGTTATGCGAACGGGGCTGTCGAGCATGAGCACTATCCAAGCTCAGTAACGTGTAGAACGGAGGTTTTCATTAGTTTTGCTTACAAATTTCAAGTAAAAAGTCGAGTATATATTCGCGATTCATGAGTTTCCTGGACCCCGATTTTCGCGCCGATAAGATGAAGTGTAGAGGATGGCTCGAGCTCCATGGATCCTCCGTTTCAATGGCAAATTTTCGCGGTCTGGCATCCATTCAAAGGATGACCAAGAAGAAGTTGAAGGGACGATGCCACGAGAGACTCGGAATTTCCTAGGATACCCTTTTTGAACAATGGAATTGCCAATTCTAATTGAGACCTAGACAGTGGATTCGAGTTGTCCATCGAGTGCCTGGAAGTGCGCCGTCGGACCACGTTGGTAGAGAACGACATACCCAGCTGGCGCTTCGGTGGCGTTTGCACCACTACGTCAGCCTTGACTTGCATCCGCGTTCGCGGAATCGCATGGCGCGAAATGGAGCGATCCCCGCCTCAATCTGTCGCTGTGCTGGACCAGTTGGCGACGCGCAGTCGAAAACTGGCCGAGTTCTGCAGCAGCAGAAGGGCGTGTCGGTCGATCTGAAGATCTGGAAACAGGCCAAGTCTTCTGCGCGCAAATCCTCTCGCACCCGAAGCTCAGATTCTAAATTTGAGGCTTGAGCGGCATCGCCGTACAATTAATTGCCACGCCCACAGCGAGCAACTTGTTCAGCAAATGTCAACGATGCAGGCAGTCACGACTGCGTGAGTGACTCCTCACAGCCGTTGTATCTGCGCACGAATCGCGTATAGCGCCGCGCTGCTTTACGCTTTCGTTCAAGCCACTTTACATGTAGCAAACAAAAGACCTGCACGAGGCGGCGACCTGAACAGGTTACCTAACGTCTTCGCTGCGAGAGACTGCGCTACAGCTTACGAACAAGAAGCAAGCAAGAGCTTGCTTGTTGCAGTTGCACTTCGCCTGGCGCTTGCAAGCTGCTTGGATGCCCTTGCCAAGGCCATAAAAGCAAGCTCCTTGCATGGCAAAAGTATCCGCGTTTCGCCATGGTTCCGTTTCGCAAATACTAGTAGACGGCGGCGGTTATCAACCCCGCGTCTCCGCGACGGCCACTCCAGTGATCACATCTTACTACGCCAACCATGGCAACGAAGTCGTCGAAGAACGATGAGTGTGTCCGCGTGATGGTCCGCATCCGGCCCATGAGCGGCAAGGAGGTGCAAGACGGACGGCAGGAGGTCACGACGGCCAACTTTGATCGCGCCGAGGTGTCCATCCTGAACCCCGTGGCCGCGTCTTCCGAGCCTCCGAAGTCGTTCACTTTCGACGCTGCATTCGGGGCAAAGTCCACACAGCAGCAAGTGTACGACACGGCCGCAACGGAGATCGTCGAGGCCGTCATGGAAGGCTACAACGGCACCATCTTCGCGTACGGCCAGACCGGCGCCGGCAAGTCCCACACTATGGAGGGATACGGAGACCAACCAGGTATCATCCCCAACTCGTTCAAGCACGTGTTCGACAAGGTAGCCATCTCGAAAAACAAGCGCATTCTCGTGCGTGCTTCGTATCTAGAAATCTACAACGAAGAGATCCGCGATCTCTTGTCAAAAGACCCTAAAAATGCTCTAGATCTCAAGGAAAATGCAGATTCTGGCGTGTACGTCAAAGGGTTAACCGCTCAAGTTGTCAAAGACGCAGCGGAGATCGACCACGTTATGCAAACCGGCAAGAAGAACCGCAGTGTCGGTGCTACTCTCATGAACCAGACGTCGTCTCGGTCGCACTCTATCTTCACGATTGTAGTCGAGTGTTTGAGTGAAGGCTCAGCCGACGGCAAGGACCACGTATGTGTCGGCAAGCTCAACTTGGTCGATTTAGCTGGTAGTGAGCGTCAGTCCAAGACGGGCGCGACGGGAGACCGTCTCCAAGAAGCCAACAAGATCAACTTGTCTCTCTCCGCTCTGGGTAATGTCATCTCAGCTCTAGTCGATGGCAAGTCCAAGCACATTCCGTACCGTGATTCTAAACTGACACGACTGCTTCAAGACTCTTTGGGTGGTAATACAAAGACTGTCATGATTGCTAACTGTGGTCCAGCCGACTACAACTATGAGGAGACATTGACTACTTTACGTTATGCGAGTCGTGCTAAGAACATAAAAAACAAACCAAAAATCAACGAAGATCCGAAAGACGCGATGATCCGAGAATTTCAGGAAGAGATCGAAGCTTTGAAAGCCAAGTTGGTGGCTATTGAGAAGCAAGCGAGTGAAGGGGTCAGCTTAGACGGTGTCAGTACAAGTGGCTCTGTTAATTCTCCAGTGGAGATTGTGGAAGTCGAGAAGATTGTAGAGAAGATTGTTATTGAAAAAGGTATCAGTATTGAAGAAGCTCAAGCTATCGCTGAAAAAGCTCAACGTGAAAAAGAAGAAATGTTACAGAAAACTCGTGACGACTTGGCGTTGGCAGCAAAGGATAAGGCACAAGCAGAGTTGAATAAACGCGAACTGGAACTCAAATTGGAGCGAGAACGGCAACAGGCTGAAGAATTGGCATTGCAACAAAAAGTGTTGCTAGATCGACTAGCTGCTACCCAAGCCAAGGTGCTTGTCGGCGGTGAAATGATGACGAAAGCTGCGCAACAAGAAGACGAGCTTCGCCGTACTAAACTCGAGTTGGAAGAACGCAAACGCCAAGAATTGCAACTCGCCCGTGAATTAGCTGAACAAGAAGAGAGTAATCTCATGCGAGAAGAGAAGTATCAGTCCTTACAAGAAGAAGCTGAAGCGAAAGCCCGGAAACTCAAGAAAGTCTACACTAAAGTAAAAGAAGTGCTAGGAGATATCAAGGCCATGGAGAAGGCTCATAGCCGAGAGCGTGAGGATCTTCTGGACACGATTCGACAGCTCACAGCGCAGTTAAAGCTGAAATCTCTGGTACTGGACTACTTTATGCCACCCGAAGCTGTTGCCATGCTGGAAGCCCGTGCACGTTGGGATGACGAAGAGGACGACTTCACTCTGGATAGACTCGAACTCGCTGGTAACACCCTGCGTCCTCGACAGCGTCCACCCTCTGCTAGCAGTGTCCGTCGCCCTGAAACCTCGTCGGATAAGAGTCGAACGGGGAGGAAGTTCGTCATGGCCCAGAATGACGACGAAGACGACGAAATCGCCCGTGCCGAAGAGCTCGAACTTGCTCGCAATCCCTTTTTCATGTACGTGGATGACAACGATGGAGACGGCTACGCTCCTGCTGCGTCTCGTAAGAAACAATCTGCATCCAGTGGCAGACCGAAGACAGCCAAGAAATCCTCGAAAAGCGCATCCAAACGTCCTGAAACAGCGTCGAGGCGAAGAAGCGAAAAGAAGTAAAAGAAGCAAAGAGGGTTATTAACCGTCTTTGGTTTAAGTTTACTGCATAATAAAAAGAGGACCGATGACTTCGTTCTCACAGCGTACAGCGATGAGAAGGATGTGCATGAGCCAGAATTCCAGACTGCGTTGTGTCAATAAACTAGACACGAAGCCGCCGAAGTAGTTGCGGCAATGTTGTCCGCGGTCACCTACAGCTTCGTACAACCCCCAGCTGAAGACGTCGCTCCAGATTTCTTTCTTCTTGGTTGAAAAATCTGAAATTTCTGTCTGTTGCTTTGAGATTCCACGCGTGACTGGGTCTACTGAACGAAAAAGCACCATAAAGCTGCCGTTATCGTCGATTTGAACACGTGAAGCCAGTATAAGTGCCTTGAGCACCAGATCGGTGCCTTGTGGTTCAATAGTGCGGTAGAACAACACGTTCTCGTCATTCACGCGTTGCACCAGGTGGAAGTTTATTGCCACATCGGAGGCGTAGATGCGGTTCACTCCGTGCTCAGAAGACACTAAATCCCACATGCGACTGGAAATCTCATCGGCTGTGTAGTTTTCGAACGTCTTCTCGAGGAAGAAGCGCATCGTGTTGCCGTCCACCTGGCGTCTGTCACGCCAGCCAAACACACTGGCACCTGTGCTCTCGTAGTGCTGCTTGTCGGCGAATGCTCGAACATCGGTGTAGGCCTCACGAACGATGGTAATGCACTCGTCCTCCGTGATCGGCGTAAAGTCCAGTACAGGCTTGGATTTCGTCTCTTGAGTAGATTTTTCAACATTTGAGGTCGGTTTTGCAGCGCGACGTTCACCGTTAGACCACGGTGTTAAGCCCAGTGACACTCCTTTTGCACGTGCCTCCTTTTGATCTTGGAGCTCCTCGTTTAGTAAAATACCAATGCGTGTACGAGCTTTGGATTGCTCCATGGCCTCGGAGCGTAATTCCTCGTTTTCGTGGCGTAACTCGTCTTGTGTGATGGCTAGTTGTGTGTATCTTTCACGTAGCTGTTCACAGCGTTGTTCTTCGCCCTCGGGTTGGGAGATTGGCGACTGTATCTGTCGTCGAGAGATAATAGCTTCCCTGCACTTGGTTTCCAGTGTTTTCATCTCGTTTCGAAGCTCCACCAATGTGTCCTAGAATAAGTGAAAAGAAATGTTAGAAATTTTGGTTTGCAACACCATTGTAGTGAAAAACTTACAATTTTGCGGTAGTATGAGCGCTTGACCAACATTCTCTGTTTCACTCTTTTCTCCGACTCGGTGAGTGGCGTAAACCCATTGCGACTTCGCCTTCTCCTTGTTTTGGGTTTCTCTGAGCCAGAACCTTCGTCTTTCTCCGAGTTCGGAGTTGTTGTCTTGGTTTTCACTGCAATTTCAGCCTCAGGTTCCGGCAGGACACTTGGTCGCGTCTCCTCCTTAACGGAGACCGTAGGGAGGCCAGAAGGAATTGAGTCATGGCTGAGATCTCCAGTCTTATCGGTCAGTGCCTGGATAATGCCACTCATGGAGAGCTCCGGTCGGTGTTTGCGTCTGCATTGATAATTGTGGAGAAATGGGTTTAGAAACGCTTTAACACTAGCCTAAAAATTTGAGTGGCTGCAACGGACTTTTGAGTGAACAAGTCGAGCGACGCCATGTCCATCCGCTTCTCGGCATGTCGGCGGGTCGTGGCCGTGGGGCCGTTGAGTAGCTCAGCGATTTTCATGGCGATCGCACGGCCGTAGTTCGACGTATCGCCTATCCGGCAAAACCAGGAGTGTCGGTTGACACAGAGCAGAGTGAGCTCTTGATGTCTTACCGGAAAAACATGCCACGAATTGATTGCTCCGCTGACTACCATACAAATATGAAGTCAAACGTCTATCCCCTTCTGTTTTCTTTGTTGAATAACCAAAAACTGATGCACAAATTTGGCAAATCGAGGTGGTGCAACTCAAGCTGATGGGATTCCGAAATCGTTCCCGAGGCAAAAGTGTTGAGTCCCGCGTCGGTTCTGCAGTTGCCTTTTTCTCAACGCGGGAGATTGCTAGTGTCGGTAAATGTATTTGTAAACTTCGAGTTGTCCTAAACCAAAGTCGAGTGCAATGCAGTGCATACTCGTATAATAGTACATTGTGCACTGTGCACGAAGCAAATTTGTATCTTCAAGAGTACACAAGGAAAGTGATGACCGAGACCGGATGGCGAACTGGAAAAGCGCATCGATCGCCCTGCTTTTTGCGCTCCTGTACCAGACTCTGTGTATTACTTAATCGCAACAAGCGTCGTCATCAGCAGCATGCTTGCATGCAGCGGAGACTTTGACACCGGTACCGCCGATCGCCACCACGAGAGTGGAGTGAAAGTTGAGGTAAACGAGAACAACAAAGGACAAGTCTGGCACGAGATTACGCGAAAACGCACGTGCCGTCCTCTGAATGGTTCTCCTGGAGGTCCTCATCCACATATTGCTGACTCGGTACTTGAAGTGCTTTCAGTGTTGGGACAGCCTGGTGAGCTCGCAGATCGCCGTCCTCATCAGGCCAATTGGTTTGTCAAACCTGCAATACCATTGCCATCGGGTAACGAACCCTTGATTGGAAAAAGATACTTTAGTTTGCAAGTGAGACTGTCACGACTCGGCAGAGGGTCAGGACTTTGTCAGAGTCACTCTCTGGATTGTCGGATGGACTCGGTCAGCAAACTCCACGTGCCTTCCGTCGCCAGGATCGGGCATGAGCGAGTGCTTGGTGACCGCAGTAAAGGCCTTCCTGAGTCATAAAATCATGACTCATTGACGCCATGCAAAGTCAGACAAGTCGTTGCGAACGCAAAGGTATCCGCTTGCAATTCGGCAACGAAGTCTTCCGTACGCTTACTCACGTCGCTACATGCACTCAAAGCGCAGCTCACTGTGCACACGAGTTCATTTCTTGTGGAAAACTTTTGGGTCCTGTTTCCTACGCCTGCCATCAACGCATTTTGACCTATTTCAACCAGTCCTAGTAGCCGGTCTGCTTGGCCTTGCCTCCAGTGGCAGCAGCCGCGTACGGGTTCTCTCCCCCGGACGGGCCGTACGTGTACGCTGGGTGCGCATTAAGTGGCTGGCGCTGGCCTGCTTGTTGGCCAAAGTAGTTCCGCGGGTGCGGGTTGTACGGCTGTTGTCGCACTGGCATAGTGATCTCCTGGTAGCCGAAGCGGCGGTGACGCCGCGAGTGCATGATGTAGCACGACAGCGCCACCAGCATGATCTCCAGAGACACGATGACGAACACGAAGACCGCTACGAGCAGCGATTGGTCGTTAACCCACGAGATCATGCGCGTCTCGCAGGCACAGAGCATCGTGTGCTCCGTCATAGCGTTGCTCAAAGAGAAGCTGGGGCCTGCGCACTTGAGGAAGTTGCTGCCGCTCCGTAGCTGCTTGTGTCCGATGGGGCAGTTCTCCTCCACGAATGACGCAAACCAGCCGAACTCGGGGTTGGAACATGAAGCGATGAGCGGCCGGTCGCGTGTGCCTGTGAGGTCGATGTCCACGTCGAAGCCGCAGCCGTAGTACACGTACTTGAACCTCTTGTTAATCCAGCGCAGCGTCTCCTGGTCTGCTGGGGCCAGTACGGACAGGTCGAAGTTGTGTTTGGCCACTTCGACTAGCGAACTGTGCACGTGCGTCAGGAAACCGGCAAGCGAGAGCTGCGCGACCACCGAGACCAGTACCAGGATGGCGTATGGGAACAAGAACACTTTGCTCTCCCATTGGGCGCCACAGCAACCCAGTAGCGCGATTAGGATGATCAGAGAGCCACACATGATGACGGAGGAAGCTACGCCACCGTCGGAGAACTCGGTGAGCGCTGGGAGTGACGCCATGTAGCCTATGAACAATGAACAATGATACGTTTAGTTAGTGATAAATGGTTGTACTGGGGTGAATATGTGGTTAAATACGCTGGGAATTGCATGAAAAATCGTAAAAGATAGCGGTCTAACCTCCGATGGACACGAGCACGGAGCCTAGCAGCAGGAACAGCACATTCGTGAACACGAGGATGCTGCGGGACAACGAGCGCCACGCGTGCATGGTTTATAGAGTTTTTCTTGGAGTTACGACACGGAACAAGTATGCGCAGATAGCGGAGAGTGTGGCGCAGCAGAGGGGAAGTGCGGTGGGCGATGACGAAGAGCGCAGACACACGGGACGAACCTCAATGGACCAAGACCACGCACTGATTTACTGTCGATTTTTTTTTTTCTTTCGCGGAGGGAGAGATGCTGGATCAGATGGACTCAGATTTTAAGTTGACTCAGATTTTGTGCTGTTTTGCTTCATTTTTGAGATGGGCGGCCGCATGACGACAAACTCAGCGACTCCTGTGAGGACCTGGGGCTCGCCGGACGAGAATCTGGTGCTCGTGGATGATGTCAAGGCGCTCAGACAAGCTGTGCACGACGAGATGGAGCTTATCGGCTGCGGCTTCCACCAGCACCGAGTCGTCACGTACGATATAGCAGCTATAGGTTTTATTGTTTTTAAAGGTTGACCTAAATTTGGAGCAGAATTCTAGGATTTGGAAACGTTGCAGATGCAGTGGAGATTCTAGCAATTGGATACATCCTGACGGTGTACGAAGACTCGGAAGGCGAAATGACATCATGGGAATCTAGTACGTGTTTGCTTGTAACTTTTTTTTTTTTAGGGTTTCTTGAAAACTAATGTTTAGCTCATTTGTTGTAGGTCTGCTGACGGCTGCTGTATTTGCTGGAATGTTGGGTGGTGGGTTGGTGGGTGGCGTGGCTGGAGATCTCTACGGTCGTAAACCGGTTCTGCTCGTAACATTGGCCATCAACGCCATCGCTGCCTTTTTGTCAGCTTTTTCGCCGAATGTCTACTGGCTTATCTTCTTCCGAGCCACGGCGGGCTTAGGAGTGGGTGGAGTGGTGTCGTCACTATTTGCATTATGTCTGGAGCATGTCCCCGTATCGGCGCGAGGACGATACGTCACTATTTTGTGCTCATTCTGGATGGTGGGCGCAGTATTGACGGCGGGTACGGCCTGGGTGATGCTAGGCAAGTACAGTAATGGCGATCGGATACTGGAGCTGTCATGGCGCTGGTTCGCCGGGGTGGTCGGACTACCGTCGTTCACGTGTTTTATGCTGGCGTTGTGGTATGTTCCTGAGAGTCCGCACTTTTTAGCAAGTAAAGGGGATGCACAAGGAGCCACAGCAGTGCTGCAGTATATTCACGGAATACATCGAAGTGGTCGACATATCCAGATTAAACTCTCCAATGGTGAAGAAAATATGGATGATAAAAGTGTGCAAATTGCGAGTAAAATGGAAGCTCAGACAGTGAACACGACAGCGGATAGTGACGACCATAACTCGCACACTGCCGTTTGCAGCCGTGAAAGTTTACGTGTTCTAGGACGGTTGTTCGAGCGACCGAATGCAGGACCTACTCTGTTGTTGATGCTGTGTGGATTTTCGCTGAGCTTTGGCTCGTACGGTTTGTCGACGTGGATCACCAAGCTGTTCAAGAGTGCTGGACTGGCAAACCCATTCGAGAATGCATTCCTGTTTGCCGGGGCAAACCTGCCGGGCAATGTTGTCAGGTGAGTAGAATTTGAAACATTCTTGATTGATTCCAGATGCTTACCCGTTTATTCTGCAGTTTGTATCTGATAGATATTATCGGTCATCAACGCCTATTGTCTGGAGCATTATTCACATCTGCCTTCTGTGCGCTACTGTTTGCCTTTAATGTGGAAGGCTCGAAGACGATCATCGTACTGGTCTCATATCTATTTAACGCGTCCACCACTGCAGCCTGGAATGGAGTACGTCGAAACTTTATTCTATCGTTTTTTTTTTATTTTACTTACCGTGATTTCTGCTATATTTCCATCAGTTCGGCGTACTTTCGACCGAAAACTTTCCCCAGGAGCTCCGAACTACTGGTATTTCGGTAGTGAACTGTTCGAATCGCGTAGCTGCTATCACATCACAGTTTGTGAATGGATTTCTCATGGGTCCTCCGCCTCATCTCGAGGCTTTACTGCTGGTCACGACCACTGTTATGTGTACGGGAGGAATTGCCTCGCGCTGGATTGCCCATGGTGGAGATGACGACATCGATGCTATCAGCAAGAGCGACAGTAGCGAGGATACCGAGGCAGACCCAGAAGGCTCGCCAAGCTTGTGTGGAGATGAAGGAGAACACGCTGGTCTGATTCGACATGATGTTCTCTTCAATGAGAAGAAAAATTCTCCTAGAAGAGACATCAAAGAGGTGAAAAGCAGTTAGTACCAACGCAACGTCCGGACTTGTCTGATTCACCAAAGACGAGTTAGCGAGCCATAACAACGATACCTATTATGTTCATTACGCAGATTGATCTAAGCTGCCAAAGTTGAGTTATTGTTTCTGCGACCGGGCAGATTTGCACGCAACACACGACGCCAGTCACGAGCTTCTTCAACAGTGCGAAATCGCACGTGAATCACTTGATTTTGCGGCGAGTCCAGTGAGATGATGAGTTCTAATGTTGGAGGAGCCATTGTGCTACCTGCAGAAGGCAAAACTAGTGATCCACTACGTCGACGTGCCTTGACGCCTTCGACGTACCCTCTCCAACGTGGAACCTCGTACGGTTTGTCGCTGTTGTAATACGACAGCATTGAGCCTTGCACAACGAAAAAGTAGCGGCGCCAAAGCCCCAGAAACGAAGTCTTTTTCTCGATCCAACCGCTCTTAACGATCGGGATGGACAGTCGATCAAACCGACAGAGTCCATCGGGGTCGAATGACGACATGCTCAGCGTTACCTCTTCACTCGATCCAGTAGACCACGACCGAGACTTTCGACGGGCTGGAGTCTTCAATGCGCGAAGCCAACGATTGCGTTCATGAGTGTCATGTGCACGAATGTCGATGACTTTGCCACAAGCACCGTAGACCTTGAATCCTACCCGGTTGGTTCGGTCGGTGTCGTCGATATGTGCCACTCGAATAACACCTCGAGGCTGACAGCCGTCACCGAAGTGGAAAAGGTTGCGCGATGCCCATGCCGACGCTACTGATGCTTGAGCTTGCTTCAGGAACACTTCAGCTGGGAAACTTGTGAAATACGAGAGCATGGTACCGTCCAGACAGAAATACCGGTGACGCCAACGTCCGAGCCGTGTACCGCGCATCCAAAGCCAACCGCAGAACTGGTCTTCTAGGGCCAAGTTGCCAGACTCAAGTGGAGGAAGATCTCGGGACGTCTCTACGTACGTCATGGTCGCCCAGCTTGGTGGCTGTTCCCTCGTGACTTGGCATCGCGGGAAGGAACTCTCGAGTTCGCGCTCGACCTCAGCCTCCGATGTAAAGGTAGATAGCGATCGCATAACACGTGTGCACGTCATTCTACGTTTTGCTAGAGGCCGAAGCGACTGCTTGCTCCTCGCTGCGCTGTTAGTTGTCCAAGCCGAGAGTTTCAAAAATGAGGTGCTACAGGCATGACTTGAGAAGAAGCGAGCAGCACATGCCCACTCAACGTACCTGGCGTGTTAGGCCCTCAAACTCCTGCAGCGACGCCGTCCCATTTCGCTGGGAGCCGCTGGAGACGTGTCGCCGTTTTCGACGAAAGCTTTCCTATAAATACTGATATCGTGCGTTCCTCGACATTGGATCAACGGGCAACTGGGAAAGATAAACGCGATGATGACAACGGTGCCGTCTTGTGGATGGATGTTTGATCCCACGAGTTTACCCTCCAAATATTTCGCTGTAAACGCAGCGAGGCTTCCGGAAGTAAAAATGAGACGATGTCCTGGAGCCTGCCCATGGCTTTCATCTTAACGAAGACCCCTGTTTTACTTTACAAAAGAGATTGAAATAGCAATTAGGATGCAGTGAGATTTCATACCACACCTTCTCAAAAAGTTTTGCTGTTCACTCTCGTCGTTAAGCTATTGTTTGAACGCCTGTTTTCATAACGTCATCGAGTGTTCCGATCGGGCAAGAATAGCATACAAAACCACCCCAACTTGTTTGAAAAACGACACGCAGATCACCTCTCAGCAACAGGCCGATAGAAATTTATACCCTCCATCCTGGTCAGTGTAAAAGAATTAGTAGTCAGGGTCGTCTAGCATGAATCAGTCGAACGAAGCGGAAACACTGTCACCACGCCATTGAGCTCCCGGGACGCGATTTGGCGCCGCTGCAGTGATAACTGAAGCGCAGTCAAGATACGCGGCTTGCCGTTGACGGAGTGGTGGCCTACGCCACAAATCAATAGACAGCGGCGAATACGATGCTCCTGGCAGTACTCGATCGCTTCGCGAGCTACCCAAAGAGCCTCCATCACAATCATGCCGTGCAGGTCGATCGGTCGCTGGTGTCTACGGCACAAAACAGAAAACAGAAAGCAAATTCCAGATGAAAGCCTGCAGACAAAGGTACGAGCCGTTGGAAAATACTCCAAAAACTCACTTGACGTGTTCTTCGTGCGCCAGGAAGAAATCATGCGCCCACTGCCGTTGAGCCTCTCGATGTTCGCGCCGGGCCTTGCTCAACCTGTAACACAAAGCAATAAAGGTGATTAAGCGTGACCTCGGAAACGATTGTGTGGTGGCGAAACCACTCACTCTCGAACACGGTCGCCTGCAAGAACGTGTTGACCGCGTCTGAACGATGCAAGGACATCGCAGTAGCGGTTGCTGAGTTTCTCCTTCGCTGCGTTGACCTTGTGTTTACTGGACACGAGAGTCCAGTTCTCAGAACGTCCGCTTCGGCGAGATTGGTGATTGTTCTTAGCAGCAAGCACCTCCTCCGCATCAGCCGCGGCTGCTGCCATCTCAACTTCCTCCGTCACAGTCGGCGGAGGCAAATGCTTCTCGACCAGCGGCAAGTTGTATATCTCACGCAGTGCTGCCTCTGTGGCATCTGAGCTGCATCCATTGAGGAAGAACGTCTGCACATATCAAACTACCACAATTAGACCCCCAAATCTTCAAAACCAAAACAGATAACTCCATAATGGACGCGTACGGTCTGAATGACACTAGTGTCAATGCTGGGCAGCAGTTTCTTAAGCCGTTCAAGCTTAAGCTGCGTCGTGATACCTGACTCCGCGCGGTCATGAGGTACAGCCTGGTGGTCCCACGCATTATACGCCGGCTTCGTCTTGCCTTTCGACGAATGTTTACGCGCCGGCAGCATGGGGTACGCTAATGGTGGAGGCGAAGGCTTCGGCGGTGGTCGTTGGTGTGGCGCCTGCTGCAGTTTCTGCTGTCTACGCTGCTGCCTTTTCAGCTTCTTTTGCTGCGTCTTGCTCGGGACTCCGAGGTCCGGGAACTGTCCAAGGGAATCTACCTTGGGTCCATTCACATACAACTCCCTCAGTTGTGCTGCCGCACGGGCGTCTGCGTTCACTACCGTAGCGTAGCTCTGTACATGGTTCAATGCGCGAAGGTTGTGAAGCGCTTCAGCGGCCTTGTCCACATCGTAATTGTGACTATCTAGAACGTCCTCCACCACCTCCACCTTGTAGTCCGGGTACATCTCTAGCAGATACTGTAGCGGATGCACATCTTCATCCCCACTTTCATCCTCACTATCTTCATCCAGACTGAGCAGCAATTGCTGCACGAAGACTCCATTCGTGGCTAGAAGGTCGTCTCGTTCGCTCTCGGGCAGCTGCTGTAGAGCGGCAACGAAGGAACTGTTCTCGTCTAGTCCCAGGCCACTACAGAGCTCGCTGAGTTGCAGCTTGGCGTGCTCTTGTTGACGTTGTTGTCGCTCTTGAAGTGTCTGTTGGTCCTGCTGACTCAGCGTCTTGATGGCCACGAGACTCAGCACTTCGTCCACTGCACGCGACACGTCTCCATCACACGATTCAAGAGCACGCTGCACTTCTTTTCTCGTCACTTTGGACGGCAATTGGAACCCTTCAGCGTCGAAAGTTGCAGTCATTTCGAGCACGAGGTCAATTTGGGCTGTTGTCTCGACGTCTTCGATCGATTCTGCATCGTACGTCGCCAAAGACAGCGATTTGAGCATATCAGACGAAAGAGGAGACAAAGAGGAAGAAGATACGGTGTCTTTCGACGTCTCGGACCCCAGCATCGTAGAGATATCACGCGGAGAAGAGCAACTTAGTCGACCGTCTCGACAAACACACGAATGCGGAACTGACGTGCAGAATGAACGTCATTTGAAATACATAACATCAAAATTATGTTCAGAACACTAAATTCACGTTTATCACACCAGTACCTCTTTCCGTCCATAATCCTCTCGCCATAGTCAGATTGAGTATGGGGGACCGCAACGAGAACGGTCGGGTCGTCATGATCGTGCGGGCCAATTCGCCGCGCCGCAACGACGGACCTGGCGGCAGTCCGGGCGGTAGTCCTGGCGACCCGTTGGCGTTGAACCTGGGGGCTATGGAGGCGGACTGGAGACAGCAGCAGTTCCAGCGTCAGCGCATGCAGCTGCTCAGTATGGCTATTTTCCTGTGCTTCCTCGTCCTCTTCTTCGACAACCGCGCGGGGGACGCGCGGAACGCCCGTCACAGTCGAGGAGTCACCGACGGCGCTGGTCATAACCGCTACTCGCTGCCTCAGAACGCCTTTAATGATACAGACAGGGTCCAGAAGGTGCACGAATTAGAAGCGCTGCTCCAGACGCAACCAGGCTACAGACACAATGAGCCACCACTTAACGTTACCGGTATCTACTCGGGCACGTGGGATTCGTTGCTGGCCGAGGAGTACGACGCCAATAAGCCCGTATACAAGGACATTATCCCGTACCTTAAGGTGGATCGAGAGATTCAATTACAGCAGTACACACAACCAGTGGAGAAAGGTCATACGTGGCTGTTTCTTAAGATGAAGACACCGGCATCCAAAGAGCTTATTAAGGAGGTGGCATATATTACGGGGCAATTGGTAATTTACGAGGAACAGGCGTCTCTAGCGGCTACAATTCTTCCAGTACAGGGCGTTTTCCTTCGGAAATTGGCTAAGTTGACGCTGTTTGGCAATAGTCCGGACTCGAGTGTGCAAATTCTGTATCGAAAAGAAAAAAGTGGCGAGAATACGACCGAAGTGGAGGAATTAACGGAAGCTCCGTCACAGGAGGAAGATGAAAAGGCCAATCTGGAGCGACTACCGAGACAACCGAGAGCAGAATTGATGAATCTCGGTGTGTTGGATGGCGTCCCGGCCGTGGACAATAGGGACGAGTATGCGGCGATTGATATCTCGCCGCCGAGATACTCGTACGTCTCGCGGTTCAGGAGTAGTGACTCGTTCAGTGACCAGTGTGTGAGTATTGTGGAGATGTCGCTGGTTAATGACACGAGCAAACCCACAAGAAAAGGAGGAGAAGATGATGAAGATGATGATGCAGCTACGGTATTGCAGAAGTCGATGCGTCACATGAAGCTGGAAGGCACGCTGGCTAGTGTGAACTGTGGACTGTATTTGAAGCTAGACACGACGTTTCAAGAGGAGAACTTGAATGTTTTCTTTGCGAAGGCTTCTCGTTACGCAGTGATCATGACGTTTATTGCTATGGCGGAGATCTACTTCTTGCTACGTCAGCTGCAGATTTCGAGCACACAGGCGACGGCAGCGAAGGTTTCGCTGTTGACTATTGGACAACAGGCTATTGTGGATTCGTACTTGTGCTTAGGCCACTTGACTGTGGGCATCGTGGCGCAGAACGTGTTTGCTGCGTTCGCGTCGGTCGCGTTCGTCAAGCTTATAATCTTCTCGGTGTTTGAGATGCGCTATCTGCTGATCATTTGGAAGGCGCGAAGACCGCAGGGATTCTCAGAAGGCTGGCTGACGTTGCGGCGTGAACTCACGACGCTCTACTCGCGGTTTTATCTGTCACTGCTGGCTGGACTCTGCATCTTCTATAATTTCTCGGTACGCCATCAAGTACTTTCGTTTATTTTATGGGTGGATAACCTGACACTCTTGTTTATATGCCTATTGTAGAATCACTTGCCCGTGCTGGTCTTTATTTGCTACTCGTTCTGGGTCCCACAAATTGTCCACAACGTTCACAGGTATGCTTCGTGATGTTATCCTGCTTTGGACGTCGATTGTATTAAACATCGTATGACTTGTAGGGAGGTGCGGAATCCATTTGACCTGGGATATCTGTACGGCATCAGCGCGTTGCGTTTGTTCCTGCCGCTGTATTTCTATGGCTGTCCGGATAACTTCCTCACAGCGTTCCCGATGGTAAGAACGCTTAATTTTGGGATCACTATTCGCCCTCTTCGAATGAATTCCATTCGTCTGTTCGCGATAATAATTGGTGACTAACGTGTTTTGGTGTGTATCACAGTACGAGAGCAAGATTAACCCGCACTTTTGCTATGTGCTGGCGGGGTGGATGGGACTGCAGGTGGGTATCCTGGCACTACAGCAGCGGTATGGTCCGAGATTCTTCGTGCCTGCGCGGTTCCTGCCCGTGAAGTATAACTACGAGCGACGCATCAACCTGCAGCAATTGGCACTGCTTAAAGACGGCGACAACTCGATCGACTGCGTGATCTGTATGGTGGAGTTGGATATCGAAGCCCGCGACTACATGATCGCACCGTGCGACCACATTTTCCACCGCGAGTGTCTGCAGGGCTGGATGGAGGTCAAGATGGAGTGTCCAACATGTCGACATGTCCTACCAGAGCCCTAGGCTGAGGTGAGCCCTCAACGACGTCTGTTTGTCCATCACTGAAAAGGAGGGCGGAACAAACAAACAGAACGACGAGGGCAAAAACACGGGGAGACGAGGAGGAGCCAAGCTTTTGACGGCAGTCACAATGCGCGACCAGCACAAAAGATGGGCCGAAGTGGCTCACTTTCTGCGCAACTTTTCATCTTAAACGTCATGCTGCTGCTCGTGCATTTGACATGAAGGGTAACGTTGCGCTGCCACCTCATTCTTTTCCGGTGAACATATCGATAGTGTAGGTTGGTTCGTCTTTCTTCAATACAGTCGCAAGAATATCTATGAAGACAGCAACGTCTTTCATCTTACATGCAGCAGTTGTGTCACGCATGACTGCGAGCTTGAAGCTTGAGCGTCCGAAGAGTGACATGCTCTCCGCGCTGCATTTGAGGCTGAGAGGCGATGTATGTTGGCTGTCCAACGACTAAGGTCGGCGCTGCTGTCCCACGCCGGTCAGCGCTCGCTGTGCGGCGGGGATACCCTCGTAAAGTCGAGCAGGCAGTGAGTCCATGTATACAGTTCACTTGACTTGACTTTTGTATGGAGTTCGGAAAACCAACTCATCATTTCGAGGGCGTAATCATCGTTTGGTCCGCCTTGTGGTGCCGGAGCGATCTTAGTTGCTCCGTCTGCACCCCAAGTCGAGGACAAGTCTGGCCGTGCTCATTCCTCTCACGACGACAGCCCCTCCCTCTGCTCCCACGTCCAGCCGGAAGACTGTGACCCGTGTCCACGTTTGGTGTTTGCGGTCATTCCGGCCATGTACAAGTAGTGCGTTGTTGGGCGTGTCCACCATGACGGAAGCGAAAGATGGCGGGCATCTGCTGCAGATCCCAACATGACTGAAGCCGCACTAGCGGGACCGACCGTCTCGCTCATGACTCGAAGAAGAGCGTCGGTACCAGCGAAACTGGCAGAAGCAGTTGCTTCAAGCTCGGACACGGCGTCGGCGTCCGAGGCAAAACAACGGAGAAAGAGCAGCGGGAGCACTGCGAACAGCGAGAATGTTAGCGAAAGTAGCAATGCAGCACATGGTGGCGAGGCAAAAGCAGGAGGCAGCACTCCAGCTATCCACCAGAATCATCCGGAGAGTTTATGCCGGTATCCGAACAAGCGCTGCTACAACAAGCGAGCGGTGAAGAATAACGGCGAGTTGCACAAGTTTTGCGATAAACACCGCGATTCTGCGAATCGATATCAGCGAAAATTGGAGCAGAAACTGAAGGAGAAGCGAATACAGTCACGAATGCGAGCGTTGCAGGCACAACAAGCACAAGCTCAAGCACAGGCACAAGCACACATTCAAACTCAGATTGTCCACGTGCAAGGTCACGAGGGTCACGGCCACAACTCGTTCAATATTGATCCTGCAGTCATGGGCAATTCGTTGGTAAGTCCATATCCTGGTATGGAAGTGTATGCAGCTCCAAATGTGCCAAGTGGAGCAACAGCACCAGCGAACAGCACAATGCTTCCACAAGTTCCGTTCTCAGGACACCCAGCAGTAGTAGTTCCCTTGTCGAGTGGAACTGAAGATTGGACACAAGGGGAAGACGAGTACGAGCCGTACCAGCATCCAGTTCAGCTGCAGAGCGAAGATATCGACTGTCTTGATTTACTGTCTGAGCAGTGAGGAAATAAAAGGAACCAACCAAGAAGTTAAATATGCCGGATTAGAGTAGTGTACGGAAATGGCGTGGAGTTTGAGGTGTTACGGTATAGAAATCAACGATGTCCGTTAGTGCGATGAATAATAGTGAATGTGGCCATGTAGTCAAATGTTATAGGGAAGAAATGTGGATAGATTGCCACTCAGTTTGAGCTAATTCCAGTAAATGAATACTTAAGGCCGAGCACGAGGTAAGTAATCACACTACGACTTGAGAATCTTTAAAGCTCTTTGCCACTGTTCGATCCGTACAGGCGCAAAAGAATGCCATCGATGTATTCCACCGACGCGCCAGCCAGTGCCAATTTCACAATGGTGTCATGGCGCTTTTTTAACTCATCCTTCTGAATTGCGCTCTTGACTACCGTGGCAGCTTGGACAGGAGTGACATCGGTAAAGCCGAGATCATCGCATAGCGATGAAGACAACACACCGTCGGTAGGTTCTTTCAACATCCATAGCATTGATGACGGATGATCAGTGAGATGACGTTTTCTTACACCCACAATCTCATCATTCAAGAGTCCCAGCAAATCTCCAGTTTTTTCAGATTTCAGGATGAAAGCGCGTTCATCGACCAGCTTTAGGCGAAACTTCTGAGACTTTTTATTGACTGCACAAGTGTCAAACTGGCAGGTCGGGTTTTCGTCGTGATCGTCTGCCACTGTCAGGTAGTGCTTGTTGTTCATCGACTGGATGGACACAGTCCCGTCATAATTGCGGACGAGCTGGACGCAAGCTCCAACCCCGCCTGCATTCTCCACAAGCCCAGCTTCGACGCCTTCCGTATTAACCAAAGTTTTGTCGGTATATGTATGCAGCATAACCGGCTTGCCAAAGATGAGGTCACCTGGACTCATGATAGTACTTGGAGACGCCTTGATTCCGAGCTTGAAAATTGAAAAGTAAACGAGATACTAGTACTCAAACGATCTCTTGGATCGAAAGGCATCAACTTGTTCGGAGCCATCACTCAACATATTCTTGAGAAATGTAACAAAGAAAAATCTTTGTGAGGTTCTCTTATGGTCCGGGTGGAGGCAACGCTCGAGAGTCACTAAGACTCACAGTTAAGTTGTACTGCGATATTAGAAAGGAGAAATGGCGCGCAAAGTGTGGTTCCAACTAGTAGATGCAACAACTCGGGGCGCGTACGCGGATACCGAGGAAGCATCAGTGCGACCTGATGGTGCCGATGATACTGAGGACCTTCGCAACAAGATCCATGCAGAGTATGGCCATACAAAACCGCCAGGAAGAAACCTCCTAGCCGATCTTGCACCAAAACAGCTGAAGATTTACGCAAGCATAGCGATAGACTATTTCCTGGGTCGTATACAGATCTGTTCGTGAGTTTGGTCGCGTCATTTTGACGACACAAACATCAGATCCGATCAGCAAGAGGTTGATCACAAAGTGTCCTGCAATCTAAACTTTGAGGTGGACGTGTTACCACTTTTGAATGTTTTATTATTACTTTGGGTTGTTTTATCATCATGTTTGAGTCGTTTATCATCGGTTTTAGATAGATTATCATTGATGTTATACTGAATATCACCGAATTTGGATACAGATACGTAGTATTAAAAGGGTACATGTATTTAAGCATGAGGGAGTCCCTAGTTCGTAGCGTCTAAAACGCTTACTACATCTAGCCCCTACCACAAAGTTGTTGCTGGTGAGATAACAACTTCTGGTTATCCGTCCGCACCTGCACTAAAGGTCTCTAAACAATAGCTGCTTGCACACTCTGGTCATCTCCGTTGGCAGTCGACTCATCGTCATCGCAATACTCACTGGGATCAAACGAGAAGTCCGGAAGCGCATCTTCGTCACTGTCAGCTACGTCGGCGACCTCACGCTCTACCACAGAATCAACATCGCTGCTGCCTTGCATCTCGTCTTCACTATCAGAATCAGAGGCTAAGTCTTCGTCCGTAAAAACAACTGGATTGGGAAGATCAATCGTCTCGACGCTTGCCCCGTCGGCACCGCTTGTGTTGGCTCGTCGTCGCCCTCTCTTTTTGTTTGCATTGGTTTTGTTGCCTCTGCTTCGTCGCCCTTGCGCCACGTTGGTCAACTTGGTAACGTAATCTTGAGATATTGTCCGGATCACGTTGACAAATGTGGCAATATTGGGATGAGGCGTCGGGAACGACCTATTTAGCTCCCTATTAAATCGTTCGAAGAGGATTGTTTGTTCTAGCGACGAGACCGTTGTCTAAACCATGAACATTCCACGATTCAATGTTGTACCGCTCCAGCCAAGTAGCGCGAAAGTATCCCCAGAACTGCTTCCACTTGATACGGGTGCAAACGATCCCGGTTGCAGCACACTTGGCTCGAATAGTGCGTTTAACCCACCGGATGCCATGTCGAGGAACCAAATTCGGATCAATCACTGTGAGCACGTCAAGCACGCCTTTTTCCATAGCAATGCGAGCCTCCGCATCAGGAATACTGTACGTTGTTTTCATTTGCCGTCGCACTGCCTGTTTAAAGTGAAACAGGCAGCCGATCACTTCAGCGTT